AATTATAAGTTTTTATTTTTAATATAATTATAATTATAAAAAGTATACTTTATATTAGCAACCTCTTTATATAAATCCTATTTTTTAAGAATATAATGACTTAGTAAAGTTGATAAGTTGTTAATCTCCAAGTAACAGGTCTAAAATTCAATTCTTATAACTAATAAATTTTAGAAATTATATTTGTGTTATAGTAATTGTTTTTTGTTGATTAGTTGAATTTAGATATCTATAATCTTAAGTACACTAAATTAGATCTCACCTAACATTAAAACTTAAAACATTTATGTAAAATATAACATATACATACATAAAAGAATGTAAAAAAACTAATATTGTATAAGATTTTAGTACAAATCTGTAATAAGATCACTGAACACAGAAGACTAAGAAACTAAGAAGACAGAAACCTACTTGGAAATCCAAAGTAAAAAAATAATACAACCTTTAAATAATATTATTGAACTGCATTTATTTTAGATTTTTGATTACCAGTGTGATACATAAAATTTGCAACAGACTGAACTATCGATGTTACATGACCGATTCTTCACCCAGTGTGCAACATATAAAAAAATTTTTTTACAATACCAGATCATTTCACTAGTACATGTTGTGACTATAATCTCACTCCTAATAAAATGGTGTGGGATTAAAATCATAACATGCACTAACATAATGATCCGGTACTGTAAAATAATTTTTTTATATGTTGCACACTGGGTGAAAAATTTGCTGTTCTCACAGTAATTTGAAAAGCGCAATAATAAGTAATGATTGGCAAATTTTTAGCATTGTTAAAAAAGGTAAATACGTTCGCACTATAACGATAAATTTTGGAAATTGAAAAAAAATAATTTGCATTAGTGTAACGTAAAAATCTGCAATATAATAAATTACTGACAGTAATCGATGTGACACCCTAATAGATTATCCAATCAGATACAAAAAAGGTACGTACGCATGTACTCGCCTGCAACTCATACTCTTCGTACTCCGTTCCTGGTGAAACCGGTTATCATTTCATGTAGTATGACTAATCAGAAAATTGTATCTGTGCATGCCACTTCACTCTTCAAAGAACCATGCACATCACTGCGCCCCATTCCGGATTACTAATCAACAGAAGAATTTAAATATTGTCGATGACACTATAATTAAAGTTTCTAGAACTTTGTTTCTGGGATTTTGACACGGGCAGCGTATTTGATGTTTAAATTAATAAATCCCGGATTTGAGTTCTAGATTTGATTGATTAGTGTAATTGTTCCGAGTCATTTCATGATTTAGATCGATTACGAATTGACCTAGGTCATTTCTCAATCGGTTTTAAAAATTTAAAATTATATGCCCAAGCGATAAATTATATAACCCAAGCTATAATATTAACTATATTAGTAAAGTTCTTTTGCATGAAAAAAGCAAACTTTTACATAAAGAAATCAAAAACTTATAAAATTCTTTATAATAAAATTTAGCTATATTAGAAAAAAAATGCTTTAATGCTTCAAATAAAAAAAATTGTATAAATAAAATGCGCAACCCAAATAAATAAAAAATTCACATAATAAAAAATGCGCAATATAATAAATAAAAAAAAAAAACCAATAAAAAAATGCTTGTTAAAGTATAAAAAAGTTTTTCAGTTGCACCAACATAAATAATTTTAAATTTTGGGTTATAAGTCGTTGGGATTTTTAATTACAGTTAAATATTTGATTATATTTATTTTTATTAAACAGCGATTGTTTTTCCTTTGATGAATAAAAGTTTTTAATATTCGATCAAAGTTTTCATACATCAAAAGGTCATAAATTTCCATTTTAAAATTAATAAGAAAAGAAACATTGTATTATCGATAAAGTTAAACATTGGAAAGTTTTATTTATTGACTATTGCTAATTTTCCCCCTAGGTGATATCACCCGGTTGTATAAAAGCCAATCATCTCTCAGGATCTTGTGTGACCAAAACAAGGCGAAGAAATGAAAAAGCTCTAAATCTTTTTATCTAACCCAAGGCTAACCCTAACTCCTAACCTTAAATTATTTATTTTTAATTTTTTTTTGCTTTAGTTAATTTAGCATACGTAATAATTCTGGGTTCGAAATTTTTGGATCAAGTGACGACCCCTTCTTGAGTATGAGATGTGACAAATAAGCACTGACTAATTTATTTATATGAATAAATTACGTGGTGTTACACTAACTAATTTATTTATATATAACAATTTTAGTTCATATAATATATATCTGTCATTCAATAATTAGTCACACCCTGATCCTTAAATTTCATAGCTTTTTCATTAAAAATTGACCTGGTTCATTTCTGAATCGGTGAAAATTTAGGAAAATTCGGAATCGAATAGACCAGGGCGGCTTTCAAATTTGCGGGTCATGTGAAAAAATGCCACCAATAAATATGAATATGTAACAATACGATAATAACTTAATATTATATTGGGAAAATTAACAATCACACATACTCTACATGCAACTGCGACAGTGGATGACCGACCAATTAAATAATTTCTATTGTCACAGTTTAATTAACTATCATTAATTAGATAAAATAAAATAAAAATTCTGTGATCAACATAATCTATTAACTTGTTTTCAAATATGGAAAGATATCTATTTGAATGACAGCCCATTATAAATATATGGAATCGGATCAGGCTGATCCAGATTGGAATTTGTAAATTATTTTTGCAGAATTAGGACTTAATGGATGGGATTAGGGTTAGAATGAGAGTTTAGAATATAAAAGTTTGAATTTTTGCTGTACAATTTGAGTCTAGATTATTACAAAATTCACATCCAGGACTAACCCAACTCTGAATCGGGCAAATTCCGATTCAGGTACAACATATACATTATTAACTACACTGTTAGTGATAACATTCACGTGGAAAGCTAGTCTCAATTTATTGAATTATATTATATAAACAATTAGTAAAATTGCATACAATTTAAATATAATAATAGTAAAGCAGGTGTTTGTTTAACAAGAAACAACGCATTATTTCTTATTTAGCGAAACTCTAAATCCTATCATAAAATTTTTGGCGTTTATTTGCATTATTTGAACGGATAATTTAACATTTTTATAATAAACCAATTTATTGTAGATTAAAATTTATTAAAGTCTTTGTAATGAAACAAGCAAATAATGTGAATACGATATATTGATTAAAATTAGACTTCAGGCTTTCAAGTTTATTGTGTTATTTATTAAAAAAACCCGCGAGAAATACCTAAAATAGTAATTAACGCTATTTAAGCATAGATCTGCATCAAGAAAGATTCTCTCACCTTTCATAAATTTTTTTTTCATTTTTAAGCTAAGAAACTCTAGACGTCGGTGGTGTAATCCTTTCATAATTTAATTACGTTATATATGTTGTGCCTCAGACTAACGCGTGCCTCAGATCACAGCTGACGCACCTCAGATGTAAATTGTTAAGTGAGGTGCGTAACCTATCGATCGGTCAATAAGCACAAAAAAAATTATGTATAAAAATTATGAAGACTGAACGTGCTGAAAAGCTTAGACGAAAACTTAGGAAGAATATGCCGCGAAAATTTAGGCAAAAAAAAACTATTTGTATAGAGAAAAAATGTATGTATTAATTGGAAATAGAATGTGTGACAAAGAAAAATTCAAAAAGAACAGAGAAGTAGACTTAATGTAAAAGAATGTTACTTTTGGTTGTAAATTACCAAATATTCAAGAAGGTGAGACGATTCCGAAGTGATTAAAAATATAGAATACTACTGGAGTTAAGAAAGGCACCAACTACCAGTGAGAAAACGGCGAAGAGATCCAAGAAATCGAGTTCCAAATAAAAGGGTTTCAATTTATTTTACTCTCACAGCTTAGATGACATTACGCACCTCACCTGATGATCTGCATCTGAGGTGCGTCAGCTACGATCTGAGGCAGGCTTTAGTCTGAGGCACAACATATATATGTAAACAATAAGTAATTAACTTGAAAGTCCGAAGTTTAATTTTCCTTTTGCGTCACTCATATCTTCAAAACTTTATTTTTTATGATTCCGAGATAATGCTATTCGATTTATTCGATTGTAATACAAATAACATAAAACTTGAATATAACTCGATAAAAATTACGAAAAGAAGCGTTGCGTTTGAAACATTTACGTATCGAGGCTGATTTAGTGTAATATAATGGCAGTTTTGATGTGATATGACAACCAATTTGTAATGATTTCGCATTTGCATAAGCACATACTGTATTACCTCGAAGTAACGCCTGGATGTAGGTTAACAATTTGGCCCGAATTAAGCTTAATTTGGGCCAAATTTTTAACCTACACCCCGGGCGTTATTTTGAGGTAATACGGCATATATGTACATCTTTATCAGAATAGTTAATCAAATTTAAAGACTTCTGTTAATACATATAATGTCTTTTTTGTCTATTTTAAGAAAAGGCTGTCAAGAGTATCCTGAAAAGTACAAGTTCAAACTTTATATGCTAATCTCACATGTAGATTTATATCTCTTACACTGGCAAGGAGTCAGCTATTTTAAGATTCGCTATTTTAGGAATGTAATTTCATGCGAACTATGCTTAATATTTTGATATTTTTAGTTATAGAGAAACTCTTAATGATTGAAGCGTAACAAACCTCCTTTTTGTAAAAGGTTATTTGGTTTTAGTACATGAATTGATGCCATAAAGAATAAACCTATCTGATTTTAGGAAATAAATTGACGCCATGAACAATATCAAAAATGTTGACAAGTTTATCAAATGCGTACACGTATTAACTTATCATGAAAAATGTACCGTGTTATCCTAGAAATAGGCACATGCAATAGAATGAATTAATATATATGCATCGAAAAGAACTAGCCTGGAACTTTTCTTAAAAAATGGGTCTATCTTTCAAAGATTTCTTATAAATTCACGATAATTCCGCTTTCCGTTAATTTCAATTAATCTTAATCTTGTGCCATTAAATCCTAAACCATGTCAAGACATCCAAGTAGTCTATTCGATAACGATGATCTTGAAATTGACGCAACATTTGAGGTCATAAACATCATTAAGCCTAAAAATATAATTGAAAAACGCATACCAATTCAAGAGATGAGTATTGAAGAACAAGAATTGTTAAGAAAGATTGACATAAGAATCATCCCTTTATTTTCACTTCTTTATACATTAAGTTTCATGGATAAGTATGTATTTTAATACATCAATTACAATATTTAATTATTTGAACAATAAAACATCTATATGATTTACTGCAACAAAACATCTATATGATTTACTGAGCTGTAAATAATATTTTTAGGCTTAATATTGGAAACGCAAAATTAGAACATTTAGAAGAAGATCTTGAGTTAACTCAAAGTCAATATAACATGGTTTTAAGTTCATTCTTCGTGTACGTCATTTTTTAAAAGTGAAATTTATTTATTTATTTATTTATTTCTATATTTTCTTATTGTTATTTTTTACTACTTATATTTGCAGAGCTTATGTATTATTTGAAGTACCGTCGAATATCGTGTTGATGAATACCAGACCTTCAGCTTGGAGTTAGTTTTCATTATTAATTATGTTAATGTCGATTTCATTCTCTTTACTAAATTCTTTTTTTTTTCAGTTTCAACTATTATGTTTGCATGTGGTATAATAATAATGTCCACAGCAGCAGTAAGTAATCATCATCCTATAAATTATTTTACAGAATTTACCAAAGTTTTTACTTTATTATTTCTTAACTTTTTTTATTTTATTTTTTTAGGCGAAAGATTTTCCTCAAATAATGATATTAAGATTTTTGTTGGGTGCGTTTGAAGCTGGGTTTTTTCCGGGCGCTATATTTTATATTACAAAATGGTACAAGAATCGCGAGGAAAATTATCGAATTAGTCTGTTTGTTTCGGCTGGTATAATTGCTGGCGCATTTAGTGGCCTCATGTCGTTTTCCGTCGCGACTTTGTTAAATGAAGTAAATGGATTAAGTGGTTGGCAATGGGTGTGTACATTTACTTCTTGTTCAATTCATAATTTCAAACTCTTTTAATTTATATATATGTTTTAAATCTTAGGTATTTATCCTTGATGGTGCGTTTACATGCATTGTTGCTTTGTTCTCTTACTATTTAATCCCAGACAGTCCAGAAACTGCTACTTGGCTTACAAAAGAAGAAAGAAGGTTGGCCATTGAACGTTTACATGATGAACCTTCACATTCTCATGAATCTTATAATGAAAGTCATCAAATTTTGGATGCTTTTACCGATTGGGTAATGTTTAAATATTTAATGAACTGCACTCACATTATCCTGTATTGACGATTTAAACCATCTTTATTAATTTATCTTCATACTATTAGAAAATATATATGGCCATGTTATTATACTTTTGTATCAACGCTCCTCTATATTCCTTCTCTTTTTTCATTTCATCGATAGTAAATGGCATGGGATTTAGCACTGGTAATGTCTATTTTTCTATCTATAGCCTTTCCTTATTATCACTAGTTACTGTCATTAATTTAATTTATATACCTATTATTTTATTGTTTTATTAGTTATTTCCCAAATCCTTGCCACTCCTCCATTTATTCTAGGGTCTAGTTTTTCAATTCTTATAGCCATTTCATCAGATCGTGCTGGAATTCGTGGTCCATATATAATATGTTGTTTGTTAATTTCAATTATTGGTTACGTATTTCTCATTGTTCACAATACTAGCACGGCTGGTAAATTTTATATTTATAAGATTTAATTTTACTTGTTTTTTTTATGTAATGACTCATGAGTAAATTAATACTTTATATTTTTAGTTAAATATATCGGTGCTTGTATTATTGGAATAGGCTTATTTCCTTGTATTCCTACTTCAATTACGTGGTAAGTCTTTGAATTATCTAATATTTAACATTTATAAATTATATACAAATTATAAATATATATTGATTTATTATAAAAAGGTTAATCAACAATCTTGCTGGTGAAACTAAATGTGCCATAGGCGATGCTATGATGATAGCTGCCGGTAACATAGGTGCAGGAATAAGCACTCAATTTTATAAATATTATGATGCTCCAACTTATAGATTTGGTCATATTGTTTCACTATCACTTTCAATATTTGCATTGATTTTATGTTTAATTAAATTTCAATTACTGTCTAGAGCTAATAATAAAAAATTTGAACAAGGATATAATGAGGGAATGGATGAAGAAGAACCTATCAAATTTGGAGATAAACACCCATCATTTATTTATAGTTTATAACATTGATTTTTAAAATATTATCAATTTTCTCTCTAAGTACAATTCGTTAAGACTAGATTTTTAATAACTTGTATTTAGAACATAATTAAGAAAAATAGCATTTATAGGGTTAGAATTTAATGTTGCATTTAGAATAGTTGCGCCTAGAAAGAATTTACTATACTGAGATATAGTAAAAAAAAAAAAATATTTTAAAATGTAAATTACTTTTTTTTTGAATCTAAAATCATAAATTGCATTAAATAAATCTAAATTTTTTTCATACTTGTTAAAACTGTAGTATTGGTGATTGTAATGCTAATATACTGTTATTCTTGTATACTTGTTATTCTTGCATACCTGATATTTTTGATTTTCGGGCACATACGATATATGGTATATTTCCTTTGCAATTACATGTGTCGCAACTAGTACTATGATCTAGACTGAAATATTCGCTCAGGCAACCCCAAATTTCCAAAACTTAGTTTTACATCTCCAAATTCATAGGTAGGAGTTTGTCTGATTGGCTAATAAATTCAATATAGTTTTACATTATTTATACAGTTTCGAGTATTTTTTAACAAAATGAAAACTAATCATAATGAAATAAAAAAAAACTGTATATTGTCGTGCGGCAAATCGGCGATTCGGTTGCTACTCTAATCCAACTCTCGCGTAACCTACGGCGGCTAAGTCGAAATAGGCGTGTTAGATTT